ATCTCTTCACGTATACTGGCAATGAAGATAACCCGACCCAGTCACAGATGGACTACATACTCTTAGATAAAGCATACCGCGACCAGCTCACAGATTCACACGCCACCACCACCCCAGACCTCGGCTCCGACCACCAAGCTGTATGCATGAAGATTGTTCTCAATGCCAGCGCGGGGAGGAAGCGGAAGAGGAAAAAATGTGGTTCGATCATCGGTTGTCACACCCACCCGCCGCCGAACCTTTCTACGAGCAGCGTTTGCAACAGAAGCTTATCAACGACGACGGCAGAACGAGTATTGACGATAGGTGCAAAAGCATCGACGACGCTCTTGTACAAGCCCACAAAGGCTACGACGCACACCGAGGCACAACTCCGCAACACCACGAACACGAAGACCACCTCGTCCCAGACCAGAAACTACCAGAGCCCATCGAACAACGACGCAGCACACCACACCAAGACAGACACACGGACTACGCTCAGCAAGCTCATCTCGAAACAAGTCAAACACATCCGAAGCACGCGCACGCAGGCCAAGTTGGAGGCGATCGTCTGCCAGCTCAAGAACTTAAACAGGATCTCCCATTGCTAAAAACAAAAAATGCAAAGATATGATCGCGTCGATGACGACTGAGACCGGCAGTGACGCCACCGACAGACAGGACATCGCGGACAGTTTTGCAGCTTGTTACGAGAGATTGTACGGAGACCCAGAGAGCACAAATAGAAGAAACGCAAATGGAACAACGACGGCAACATCCGACATACCACCGTTCGCTGCAGACGAACTCCGACGCGCCATCAAACAGCTAAAAAGCAAAATGCAGCGACACCGCGGGAGGCACAGCAGAATTACTCAAGGCAAGCGGAGCAGTCCTCGAGCAACACTTACTCCAGCTCTACAATGATATAATCAAACCGGACCAACCACCACCCGAACAATGGAAAAAGACAACGATCGCGGTCATTTCCAAGTCCGGCGACACCAAATTACCATACAATTACAGACCGATTGTTAGTATCCCGTTGTTGTACAAGTTGATGTCACGCCTCCTATGCAACAGGTTAGAAGTCACCTTTGATTCACAGCAGAGCACAGACCAGGCTGGTTTAAGGCGAGGCTTCAGCACAGAAGACCGACAATGTTGCACGAGAAATCGCACGCATGGCAGCTACCTCTGTGGGCAGCAGCGATCGACTTCAAAAAGGCTTGCAATTGCGTAGGTCACGAGGCTTTGTGGAAGGCTCTACAACAACAGCACATACCAGACCCATACATCAATTTCTTGCGACGCTTGTACGACGACCAGACAGCCAATGTCAGAACACACACAACAGCAGAAATTGCTGCATGCAGCGAGGAGTGGAGCAGGGCGACCCACTCAGCTCCTTCCTCTTCAATGCGCTTCTAGAGGCAGCTCAAGCCCAGCTGGCGCTGGAGAAATTTTGGCATCAAACTTGGCTTCGCCCGTGAGATGAGCATCACGAACCTACGCTTCGCAGACGACATTCTCTCGTACGCCCCGAACCTACGGCAACTTATTTGCTTATTGCGGAACCAAGAAAGAGGCATCCAACTGCGGACTGTCATTGCACCCCGATAAGACCAAGATACTCACAAATGTCAGCCAGACGAGGGGGAGAACAATGTCACACATAGTTTTGGACGGCGCACCTATCGATATCTTGCCCTCCGACCAAAGCACGAAATACTTCGGAGGAAAGTTGTCGCTTCACGAGTCCCATGCCACTGAGCTGCAACACAGGATCGTATGTGGATGGTGCAGGTTCAACCAAGTGCGACCTGAGCTTACAAACAAGCGGTTTTCATTACACGGCTGATTGAAGCTCTTCAACGGCATTATTACACCGAGCGTTATTTATGGATGTCCCTCTTGGACCTTCACAAAAGATATGTCGGTCGCACTACAGCGGGTGCAGCGGAAAATGCAGAGACTTATTATAGGCACGCCGAGAAGAAAACACGCGGCAGAACACATACAGCCCACAAGCACCGACAACAACAACACCGACGCCACCACCGACAACAATGTCATCAACATCAGCACCGACAGAAGCATTGAAAACGGCATCGGGCCACAACGAGAGCGACAGCGACAACAGCGGCGACGACTTGGAATCTTGTGTACAATTTTTCTGTAGAAGTACTACCACCGCCGTGGCATTGGCATTGGAGATTCCCTGCCCGCGTCGCCTGCCACGACCCCGACAGATGGACACGACCGACCGTGAGCTGGGACCCAAGCTTGCACGACTCACGCCCCGCTTTTCGCCGACATGGGGGACAGAAGAAGAAGTGGGACGACGACATCGTTTCCTTCTTACGTCTGGAGACAGACACAGACAGCGATACAGAGTGGTGGGAACTCGCCCAGAATCGACAATGGGGGGACAATCGAAGAGATGATTATCCACTCCGACCATCACTCTTGAGCACGCCGACTCCTGTTCGTGCCCCTCCGACTCCTGCTCCTACCGCCAGGCTCTCTCCGTCTCCAGCTCCCATCTTTCCGATTCCAGCTCCTACCCCCGCGAATCCGATACCCGTGTGTATCTCCCGACTCTTGCGCCTATGTTTCCGACTCTTTCCCAGCACGTATGTTCTATCTTCCGATTATTGCGCCTATTTGTCCGATTCTCCCGTTCTGTCTACCCGTCGACCTCCAGACGCTCGCTCGTCCCCTGAGGGCTCTGGCCCCCCCGCGCTGCCTTTTTAGGACCGGTCCGCTCGGACCGTCTTCGCGCGCTCTCTCTCTCTCTCTCTCTCTCTCTCTCTCTCTCTCTCTCTCTCTCTCTCTCTCTCTCTCTCTTTCTCTCTTTAGTCTCGGCTCGAGAGTGCCCAGCACTCAGACCGCAGCCGCGACGCGAAGCGCCCCGCCTCGGAGTCAGACTCCCAGGCCTCGCGAGACCGGAGGGGTCCCAGCAGGACCCTACTGATTCGCGTCACCTCTCTCCCCACCAGAGCGCCCGCAGCAATGGCCCCCAGTAAGCCGGAGCGCCGTCGCTCTTCCAAGCAGCCTCCGAGCTCACGTCCTGCTGCTGAAGGGTCTCTCCTCCAACGCAAGCAGGACTGCATCGCAGCTTTCAAGCAAGCGGGGTCTGACCGCCCCACGGCCGCATACAACGGGCTTGCCGAGCTGAGCGCGGACGAGCTTCAGGCCACGTACGACATGCACAAGACCAACACAAAGAAGCTCGGCAGTGCCTTGATCCGCATGTGTGCCGCCAACCAGATCAGCTACACGCTGGATCACCACCAGCGCAGCAAGCCTAAGCGCATTGGTGGTGACACATCACACCCACCAGCTGCGTCCGCAC